CCGTTGACTCAAAAGGCTAAACTACAATGCGGTGGAGACCAGATACCAGCCAGGAAGTGTGACCAAAGTAGTTCATCGTTATCTGTCCCAGACCGCCAACGTTGAGTCATGGAGTGTGGGCCAATGAAGGTTCATAACGAAGTATGCAAACCTATCGGACATATGATGCAGTTGCGATCATATGTGGATAGGTTTGCCTTAGTGACAAAGGATTGCTCGGTTTGAAGCGGGTGGTAGCAAACCAATAAACAACGGTTGTCCTATACGATGATCGATATGATTTCACAAACGGTCGCTGCTATCTCCCATTGAGTAGAGCCACAGACCAATCCAGATATTCTGAAAAGAGAATGACTGGAACGATCTTGTCTGACCTCTAACCGCTAGCCTGGCTGGTATGGATGGTATTGAATGTGGCCAGCGTGACCCCGTGAATCAGTGAGGTACACAAGCCATCCAACCACGTAAAGGTACGGTCTACTAGGGATGGAGCAGGATAAAACAATGAGAGATGATGTAATACTGCGTTAGAGAGCAGATCGTTAAACAGGATTGGCGAGTATCATAATACGGAGCAAGTGAGAGAAAAAAGACAATAGCGATGGTCCGCGGTCATATGTGGGCAAACACGAGGATGGTTCTTATGTTTTCAATGCGCCAGTGCAGTAGGATTGGAAGTAATGTAGTACTGCAAGCCATGTTCATCACCATCATTACCCACGTCAGCTAGAGAGGTAATACACTTCAGCTACTGTGCCGCAATACATTAAAAAGAAAATAAATGCAACAGTTGCATACCAAAGGAGCTATCGTTCCGGAAAGTTGCCAGCCGGCTAGTAAGTAATGAAAAAATTTAATGAAAAAATTAAATTACGCTACGAAATGAGATCGTGGTTGGAGGGGGAGGCCAAAAGGGATGGGGAGGGACAAAGAAACTCACAGCACGAACGCCACTGAAGTCGGCACCTAGCCATGTCAGCAAGTGTATCCACCCAAGCGTGTTCACCGTCTTTTGGACCCCAACCAGGGAGCCGTGACGCTCCAACCGAGGCCAGCACAGAATTGAAGGCCTTCATTCCTCTGGACCAAGTCATCGCTTAGCCACCCCTCCTCTTCCTCCATCCGCACCCCGGCAAGCAAACAACGCACGTCACGGGAGCCGGTGGGTAGGCATGCGTAACGTTGCCGTGCCATCGGAGCATGGTGCGTGAAATGACGGTACTGAGCAGTTCAGTTCCTTTTCCTGCGCCGTAAACAAGGCGTCGAACACGCTGGTTGCTCATGCGGTGTTCCCACCAGATGTGAGCCAAACTGCGAAGGCACCGATGGTCGAACGTAACTAGCCTCTTTATGTCCGCTGATGTAAGGGGCCAGGTTTCGCAGCCGCACAGTAGGGTCGAACGTACCACTGCATTGTACCCTCTACTCTTCAGGGCGAGAGTGATGTCGTGCCAATGGCATAGGTGGCGAAGGATAGCAAAAGCATCTCGAGCTTTTGCTATACGGATCGTGATCTCATCTTCGATCCCAAGGGCGCTGATACAACTTCCCAGATAATCGAATTTCTAAACGACTGCTAGCTGATCCAGACCGAGGGTCAGCACAGGAGAGGATCACTGCCAATAGTGGAGGAAAGCTTTGCACGAGGGTGCACTAGGGTGCAAAGTATAGCCCGAAACGGCTGACAACCAGTACCAACCTGTCTAGTGCACCTTGGCACGTCTGGGAGCTGTCACAGATGAGAGCAATATCGTCCGCATAATGCAAGTCAATAAGTCGTTTTGGGAGTAGCTTCACATTTCCTAAGTCGTGTCCTGTGAATGTAATTTATATGAGTTCGTCAATACCGAAGTTAAAGAGGAAAGATGACAGCGGGCATCCTTGTCTCACGCAATTGGAGATACTGAACGGCTGTGACAGCTGGCCGTAAGCCCTCACACTGCCCGAGCTACGCGTGTATATTGCGCGGATAATATTCACATATTCCTCGGACACACCTTTCCTTAGCAGACAGTCCCAAAAGGCACATAGATCCACCGAATCGAAGGCACCTTTGATGTCGAGGAACGCGACTACGGTGGGCCGCCAATATGTGTGACGGTGCTGCAACAACTGACGCAAAATTAAGATGTGATCGATGCAGCCACGACCCCGACGAAACCCGGTTTGCTCCTCACTAATCTGGCTTTCACGAGTGCCAGTCAGTCGGTGAAGGATCACAGAAGCAAGTAATTTGAAGGCGATGAGAATCAGACTGATTCCTCTCTGGTTGCCGCATTAAGATCATGAGCCTCCTTCGAAGATCAGAAGTATAACGGAGTGGCTCCAGTCGGTCAGGACAATTTCTTGCTTTCACAGTTTCACTAGTGATTCGTGTAAATCATCAACACAAGTAAAGCCCCCGGATTTGAAGAGGGCTGGGTGAAGATCAACTGGTCCAGCGGCGTTGCTCAACTTCAACAGTCCGATCTCACGTTCGACTTCCGAGCAAGGGTGGATCCAGATGAACAGCCCAGGGAGCGGGGCGATCAGTGGCCGGCGAGAAATCTAACAATTCCAGGCCGATGAAATTGTTTTCAAAATACCCAGCCCAACGCTCCAAACGTTTTGACAAGTTGTGAATAGTCTGTACACTCTCGTCATAAATTGTTTAACTAAAACCAGGTATCTGCTGCGTTTCCCGTATCAGCCGGAATAACTTACGATGGTTACCAAATGCAGCGGCCATTTCCATCTCTGATGCACGATGAGACCAGCAAGATTTGTGGTCTCTCTTCAGGCTAGCACGGAGTTTTGTCCGGAGCTCTTTGTGAGTTTTATTGTGTTCGCTTCCAGCCGGAATATGCCGGCGAGCATCGACAAGTTCCAGAAACCGCGAAGAGACCCAATGTCCATGTTGACTATTAGACATACCACATGAGAAGTTACCTCCTGCTAGTAGGGTCTGGTAAACATGCGACCAATGACCTACAAGTGCCTCCAGTGAGCGCTTACTCAACGTGCATGACAGCGTATTTCGATACGCATACATAACAGATGACTTCGCCAGTTGACTGGTGTAAATGTGCTCACACCGCCGTCGTGGGCGTCCACCAAAACGCATCCGCATGTCAGCACATACAAGTGCATGATCGGTGTCCACACGTGCCCCAAATCGAGCGACAGATCTACACGCAGCCACTTGAGCGGTAACTGACTGCAATGTGATCGGTTTGCGTCCGAAGCTGGTGGGCACCAAGTCACCCTCCGGCGGGTGCTGTGTCGGAAATTAGTGCTCGCAAAAAATAAGCGTGCATATTCACACAACTGAAGCAACCGTTCACCGTTATCGTTACGGGAGCCTACACCGTGCTGGCCGCCCAAATGCAGTTCATCAGTGGATAATTTTCAAACTTCCGCGTTCAGATCTCCCGCCAGCAATACAGTGTCCGTGTTTCTTCTGGGCGAAGGAGCTCGTTCAGTTGGTGATAGAAGTCGTCTTTTACCGAATCATCGCTAAAGTTTTCGGGCGCGTATGCAGTGATGACGAATAGACACCTATTAGTCCCACGCGACTCCGAAGGTTTGAACGAGCTAGCCACTTAAACCGCAAACATCAGACTCCTGATTAGGATTCAATCAACCAGAGCACCTTCAGCCCGGGGACTCAAGATAATGCCAACACCGGTTGGCCGGTGCTCGAAGCTGCATCGTCACCGGATAGGTGCAATGAGAAATTACTGCTGGTGTCACCTGAAGGGGATCGCAGAGTGAGCACAGAGCATGAGTCTTGCAAGCGGGTCTCCGGTAAGCAGCAGATATCGATCGAGAGGGTCTAATGTTCGGGCAAGTGTTGCCTGTTGACTGATTTGTAGCAATGTGTGTACACTGAGGCATGCCAATATGAGGGATGATCGACGGCTTCAAATGGAAGTCGATGAACTGGGCTTCGCCGCTTGCTTGGACACGGGCTTGTCGACGGGACAGCAATGACGCTCGACGTTCACATGTGAGTTGAAACTAGAAGGGGGGAGGACCAAGAATCTCGGGGGTTGAAAACTGGGGGGATAAAAATGGAGTTGGTACGGGACGATAAGGGTGAAAAAGCGTAATAGGGGGAATAAGAAGACGGGAAGGTTTGAGCAGTAGCGTCCAAACCCCTATCCACCCAGCACGGTGCAGCAGAAAGGGCACCGTTTATTATCCTCTGCGGTAGCCAGAGCATAACTGTTTGAAGAGAAATTCATTGTATTACGTGGGCAGGATAATGTCAGATTGCCCAGGCTTAGACAGAACGATTAGGGTTCTCAACGAAAGCCTTTGGTTCAATAACCTGAGCGCAGGGTATTGGGTTTGGCGGTGGGCTACAAGGAGTTCATTTTAAGGAATAAGGAGCTACTCTCGTTACAACCCCCGACCTGGAAGACCAGGTTGTTTTTCTGGCCTCTAACCATCGACCAATCTGGTATGAATGGCCTTGAAGGTGTAAAAATGCACCACCCAGCATAGCTCAATGGATCTCTGAGGAACGCAAACAATCGCACCACGATAAGGTCCAACCTCATTGCGATGGGTAAGCCATGTTACTAAATTATAATGTTAACTTCTCTGCATGAGACAGTGGAATGAAACACGGGGTTTACTGATGCGCCCAAATACATCATTCAGTAACCGTCCAGGGATAGTTAAATGTTAAAAAGTGGCATATTGAAACACTGGTGAGCTAAAGAGATGGAGCAAGAAATGTTGGAGCTGCAGTAAGAGAAAAGGCAACAAATGAAATCGCCTTGTACCCTGTTAAAGTAACACAATAGTGTTCGGTACATAGGTTGTAGCTGATAAACGCATATTCTTGAATCAATCGGAGAAACATCACTGACACCAATAAGAGAGTCTAATTGGGTTCAGAGTGAAAATTGTCAGGCAAAGCCACAGTTAAGTCCACTGTGCATGCCCACGTGCTGAAGGCCTGAAAAGCTCATATAGGTGTGTGGGCAGACAGACAAAAAGTTGAGGCTCACCGATTCGCGCCAAATGGAAGAAGGGCCGGTGTTGTTGCTAACGCACTGTTTGGAGAACTGTGCGTGACATGAGGGTTTGCGTTAGCGGTATTGCGTCGCGTTTGCCCAATAGTTTTTCGTTGAGGTGACAGCAGATCTTGCTTGACTCCAAATAGATCTGCAGCATCCCGCCTATTTGGAAGCGTCGTATTCTGGGGCAATAGCCCTGGGGGCAGGCTGACGTAGGGTAGCAGCCGATTGACCAATGTTCGCAGGTAGGCCAGCTCGGTGGTTCTTGAGGCCATAGCTATGTGCAGATGAGAGCCAAAGCCCCGAATCACTGAGTCTTCCAACATGCAATCAGTGCTCCTGACTGAAAAAGCAAAAGTAAATAACCTCAGTGGGAGTTTGATGCATGAGTGACACTGACAAACGCTAGGTTGCGGTCTGATGACTGAACCCCATCCGGACTGAGGATAAGAACGGGAGAGCAACGAGTTAGTCTTCAGACGTTCATTTGCTCATCAAGATTTGCAAACTGGTTGCAAGCGTTTCATCGTCAAGTGAGATGATATCGTCACAGATAGGTAAGCAATGGAATAATAAGCAAAACGACGAAGATTGATAGAAGAATAGTCAGCATATCAAAGACAAGCAAGACAAAAATTTATGAACTTAGAACTTAAGCCTACGAACCACGTTTCAGTGCCTTCAATCTCACGCGACAAGTAAAACACCGCAAATCAGGTTGAGCAACTGCTACCCAAAGCGCGTCGGTTGGACCTAGCAAGAATGAAATAGACGTCGACACATTGTGAGCCAACGCAAGTTAACCTGTGCTTATTAAGAAATAGCAAGATGCAAAAGAAGCACAAAAAGTGCACCATAAAACTTTAGGAAAAGCATCGTGGCTGGATAAAAGGAACAGGTGTAAGAAGAAACACAATGACAGGGGGCCAAAGATAATCCGACTGATTTACATCAGGCAGGGTTTACGAGCACCAAAGAAAACTTTCCAGAAACATCCAAAAAGTGACGCAGCATACATCAACATTAATCGGCCCATCAGCGAGCATCTTCGTTTTCATTCGCATTTCATTCCCTTGTAACATTCGGATTTCATTTAAACTGCTGAAGCAGCAACAAGTGACATAAGCACGGTGGGAAGAAAGAAGTTATATGAAAATAACGCAAAAGCTGCACACGACGCACAATTGACAGACGGAACAGTGGGCCAACTGATGATCTGTTAACAAACGCCAAGTAGCGGACGCTAGTAGTTCAGTTAGTTAACTACGATCTTAGTAGCGAGTCGCACCACTAAGCGAGGACAAAATAACAAATCGTGGAAAACAGACAAACAAAAAGGCGCAAGTCTGTAGGAAAAAGAAGCCAAATGCGGGCTGAAACAGGAGGCGAGAGACAAAGTTGGATTATTTTAATGGTATCGCACATGCGCCATATGACGACAAATATCGCATCGATGATGTTGATAATTATGGGGTTATCGTCAAGTTACGAGGTAAAAATCAAAAGTGACTGTTTCATGTTACTCTGATATGACCCTGATCAGCCACGCATAGGTAGCAAATACCTTCCTAATCATCAATATACAAGTTAGCTAGAGGTTCGGAACATCTCAGCTGTTGTGCCATAATACATGAGAAAGGATAAAAGGTACAATAGTGGCACGCCAGCTGAGCCACCAGTAACGGATGGGCATCGTTTCGAAGTGTTAGCAGACGGCCATAGTGCCGCAAAAAATTAGGTACACATACAAATAACTAAGTGTGTAACACCAAAGCAACATGCGGTAGTGGGCGATCAACAAGTGCATGACGGACATGACTGAGACGACGCAGGTAGACCGATGCAATTGAACCGAGGCTGAACGTTATGATGATCATCATCACTACACGTAAGCTGAAGGTGAGAAGCGGCTAGTGCCGCGACAACAGAAGATCAAGGCGACAAAAACCGAAAAAGTAACATAATACCGGATATCATATCATGCATAGAGTATGATATTGTTGTTGAAGTGGGAAGCTAAAAGGAAAGGGAGGAACAAAGAGACTCACAACACAAACGCCACTGAGGTCGGTGATTTGCCAATTCACCGAGTATATACAACCAAACGTGTACATCTTCATTCGGATCCCAGACCGGCAGTCAGGAGACACCAACAGACGCCAAATTCAAAATGGAAGACTGCATTCCTCTTGATCAAGTCATCGCTTGGCCTCCTCTCCTCTTCTTCCATCCACACCCCGGACGCGCAAACAAGGCACGATGCAGAAGTCGGTGTGCTGGCATGCGAAACATGTGACGCAACCATCGGAGCCCGGTGCGGAATATAATGATGCTGATCAGTCCTGCACCAAACATGCGCATTGCACACGCGGTGTTCCAACCAGATGTCAGCTATGCTGCGAAGGCAGCGATGATCCAACCTAATTAGCCTATGTATGTCTGTCGACCTAATGGGTCAGGTTTCGCAACTGGCTGCATTGTATACTCTGCCCTTCAAGGTGAGAGTGATGTCGAACCGGCGCCACATGTAACGGAGATTGGCAAAAGCGCCTCGAGCTTTTACTATACGATACATGATTTCATGTTCGAGCTCACAAACGCTAGAAGAAGAGTGTAAACCAACTCCCACCCAGCGGTTGCCACAAGGCGTCCACGACACGTTAAACTATCAGCTATTGATTCCTTGTTATACGGACAATTATAACAAACCTTATGCTATCGTATATTACTTTATAAGCCTGAGGATGAATTACACGTTGAAACGTGTGTTCGCCTTTCTTTCTAAGTGTTACGTAATAAGTGGGTATCACAAAGGAATTGGATACTTGAATTTCTAGACGACTTCTAGCTGATCACCATCAAGAGTTTGAGTAGGGTGGGACTGTGCTAATCTTTAAAAGGGACTTTACATTCCGAAAATGCAAAGCATAGCCTGAAACGGCTGACAGCCATAGCCAATTTATCTAGAAGCTTGGCACGTTTGGGAGCTGTCACAGATTAGCGTAAACCTCATCGGTGTGCTCTAAGTTAAGAATTCGATCACATAGGAGCAGCTGCAGACCTTTTAGGTCGCGCCCAGTGAACGCCATATCTATGGCGAAGTTAAATGGGAAAGGTGACAGAGGGCAACCATTTATCACACCACCGGAGATATAAAATGGCATCGACAGTTTGTCATAAACCCTCACTTTGAGAGAACTATGCGCGTAGGACACTCTGAGCAAGTTTACATACTCATCGAATACAAATATCGTACACAGACAGTTTTAAACGGCACTTTCCGCCATCGAAATGAACACACTTTTGATGTCGGGGAACACGTCTACGGTGGGTCGACAATAAACATGGGGATGCTAAAACAATTTACATGATATGAAGATGTGATCAATGCAGCCTCGATTTCAACCAAACGCAGCTTGTTCCTCAGGCATCTCGCTTCCACGTGTGAGAGTCAATCTATGAAGGACGACGAAGGCAAGTAAGTTAGAGACAATCGAGAGTAGACTGAAATCTCTGTGAATGTTGCATTCAGAACATAAGCTTCGTCAAAATCGGGACTATGACATCATCGTCAACAACAGCAGTACATCAGTCAATTCAATGGATGCTTCGCCGTCATAAAACCATGATGACCCATGAAATAAAGTATAAGAAGAGGGAGAGAAGGGGGACTTACCTGAAAACCTTAACGCCCTAAGCAAGCATTCAGGGTCAAGGCGCCAACATCTGGTGTAGACAACATACCGTCACAAACAGCTGGCTATCGTACAAAGATAGCGCGGCATCAACGGGACAACTTTCGTGCGGCTTCCACTGCCCTGCGTCATAATCATCCATTACCCCGCAGATAACTCAGCACCACACTTTAAACAGGCAATCCGATTACGAGACGGCAGCAGACGCATCACTGGTGTCGACTGTGAGCCATGTCCTGTAAAGTCTCGAGCCAAGCAAAAGACGAGTCACGTGGACTCCAGCCCGGAAGGCTAGACGGACTAACGGCACTCAGTTTGCTCGGTAATGACTTCATTTCCCGCTGCCAAGTCAACTTCTGTCCACCTCGAGCCTTGCGCCACCATACACCTGGTAGACTGAACAAGGCCCTCTTAGGTAAGCGGTGACCAGGCATACGTAGCACGTGCCCGAGCCAACGCAACTTATTCAGTGATATCTGTGGTTCTAGGGAGCTAGCATGATTATCACTACATAGTACTCGCCTACGCACATCATTGTTGCGGACACACTATTGACATCCGACACCAGCAATGCTTCTCAGACAACGATGATCAAAGACTTGAAGACGCCTCAATCTACAGACCGAAGGGGCCAAGTCTCACTCCCATAAAGCAGAACGGCCCTCACTGTGGCCTTGTACACATGGTCTTTCAGATGGAGGGAAACTCCTGTCGCCAAATATGCTGCAGGTTCAACAATATAGCTCTGGCTTTTGCAATGCGTGAGCTGACATCAGTTTCTATGCGCCTAACGTTGTTGATACAGCTGCCAAGGTAAGTGAATCAACCGACCAGTTCGAGTTCATCGTTAACTAGGGTTAAGGAATCATCTAGTGGCTGGTGGTACTGCAGCAACAAGTTGTACTTTGAAAGTGCGAATCACATAACAAATAAGGTGACCACTCTGGACAGATTATTCAGGGTTGACTGCGCCGCCCCAACATTGTCAAAAAGCAAGAAAATACCGTCCACATAATCATGACTAACTAACCTTTCCCCAGGAAGGACCTCAACGCCTACATCGTGAGATTCCGCCAGGGAATACCCCATGATAGAATCCACGACGAAATTGAACAAAAATGGGGAAATCGGACAACCCTGACGAACGCTACTTGTGGTCGGAAAGCGATCCGGTTGGACACCGTAGACCCTGACGCGGCCTGTAGTGTTCGAGTATAGAGCACGAAGGATGTCCACATATTTCGTGAGAACACCTCTCCGCGCAAGTGTTTCGAACAGAATGCATCGATCGCCTGAACCGAACGCACTTTTGAAATTGAGAAACACAGCTATTATCGGTCCGCGGTCTGCGTGGCGCTGCTCAGCGCCTGCCGAAAAGTGAATATGCGGTCAATACAACCACGTCCTGGGCAGAAACCGGCCGGCTCTTCCCTAGTCCGAGATTCCCGTTCCGCAGTGAGGCGACCAACGGTAATCGAGGCCAATAATTTTGTCACAACTGGCGTTAGGCTAATACCCCTGTGGTTAGCACAGTCGGTGCGACTGCTCTTCTTGTATATTGCTACTAAATTGATTCACTCCAGTTATCCGGGACACTTTCTTCCAGAGATGTTCGAACAGGGAAGTCAGTGCTTTGCAGAGGACTTCA